TCACCAGTTCATTCTGTTCATCAGATTATTCACTTGATTTTCAGATTCACTTGTTGATAGATGTGTATTTGCTGTTCATACTCCTTACACTATCTTTGTATTTTTGGGTTCTTTTTTTCATTTTGCTTTTCTGGTTGGGTGTTTTTTGCTTCTTCGTATTTCAAATCGTTGACTTGATTCTTGCAATCCTCTAGTCTGCTGTTGGGAGTCTGTATAATATTCTTTATTTCAGTCTGTGTATGCTTAATTTCCAGTTGGTCTTTTATCACAACCTCGAGGATTTCATTAGATTTCTTTAAGGTCTCATTACGTTTATCGGCAGCTTCTAGAAAATTCTTGAAAAACTTTAAAAGTGTGGTTTTGAACTCTGTATCCAGTAGTTTGCTTTCCTCCATTTCTGTCATTTGTGTCCTTTTTCTTTGTCTCTGCATTTTTTATGCTTCCCTGTGTTGATAAAGTGGTTTTCTGTGCTAAGTGCCCTCTAGGGCCCAGTAGATCAGCCTCTCCAATTACCTGAGGAGGACACTCTTGGTGCACCCCCTTGTGGCCTTTGTGCACAGTCTTGTTGTAGTTAAGCCTTGATTGTTGTATCCATTCATCTACCCTGTGTCTTTCATTTGGAGCATTTAATCCATTTACCTTTAAGGTTATTATTGATAGATACTTATTTATTTCCATTTTATTCTTTATACCTATGTTTCTGTCACTATTTCTTTTCTTTCCTTTTTCTTCTTAAAGCAGGCCCTTTAACATTTCTTGATAGGCTGGTTTGGTGGTAATTAACTTTCAATTTTATTAGTCATAGTTGTGTACCTTTTTTCTCCTCATTTAAGAAGCTCCTTTAAAATTTCTTGTAATATTGGCTTTATGGTGATGAACTTTTTAGCTTTTTCTTGTCTGGGGAACAGCCAGGTGCCCCAGAGCAACTATGCTGAGCTGCTGGCCATCATCAAAGAGCTGGGAAAGGAGATCCAATCCACGTATGTGGGCAACAGGAGCACGATGGAGAGACTGAAACGAGGCATCATCCACAGGAGAGGGCTGGTTCAGGAGTGCTTGGCTGAGATGGACCGGAACGCTTATTTTCATTAGAAAACAAAAAAAAAGAAAGTGAAAGATCATGCTGATGGTTAAGGGCACACAGTTCCCCATAGAATGGCTATATACTGTCCATTTCTATGAAGACATACTTCCGGTAACTAATATCTCTCTATGCTACCAACAGATTATAATAAACTAGAGGCCTGGTGCACAAAAATTTGTGCACTTTGGGGGGGGGTCCCTCAGCCCAGCCTGTGCCCTCATGCAGTTTGGGGCCCCTTGGGGGGATGTCC